TGTTTTAAAAGCTTACTTAGTCATATAAAATGTGCCACTTCTAATGAACTATGTCAAGCTGATTAAAGCAGATAAATCATTTAACTTCAATTAAACTTCTAGTACTTGGATTCATTTTCTAATCTGAATTGTATAAATAATCTTAAAGCTGACCTAAACCTCGAGATACAACCTTCTTTACCCTGCAGCCCATATTACTCTTCATTTAAAAGTAAGATCCCCTTTAGATGCTTAACCTACAGTAGAATCAATGTCACTATGTGAACCATCAGGCACTGCTTCAATGATTGCAACTCAGCTCTAACCAAATGAAGGATCTATCTAAAGGAAGGAATTATGATAGGCTGCTCAGGCAAAGATGAACAGTGACTTTATCTCATACAAATGGCCTTGGCCATAGCTTGATTCCAGGAAGTGTTTAGTGTGTGTGAGGTGGTTGGTGTCTCATTTTTACACACAGCAGTACAGGGGGTAGGGGAAAATAGGTTTCATCCTGAGTTTAAGTGGTCCTCTTTAACACCCTTTTCAAAACCTTCTAAATCTGAGGAATAAATTCCATGTTTTAGGCTTTATGTTTATCATGTATCTTTTTACTGAGCACAAAGGCACAGACACAATCAATTGCTAGAACTTTTAACATCATATAACAAATGTTTACACAAAATCTTTTCATTTAATCAATGTTACTTAATACCAAAGCATGGCTGTGCTAAAAATAAAAAAGATTCTTGGCAAGTTAAAGACATCTTTTGTGTTTTACAATGACTTTACATGCTTGTTAAGCAGAGGCACACTGCTGAATGGCAATAATTAGTTGAACAGGCAACAAATGTTGTAAAAGCTGCATTTGAGTTTTGTCATTTTTATTTTAAAAGCTTTATCAATATTTTTGCTGTGCAAAGACCACAATGTAGGTTTTATGGTATCCTAATACATGAAATGACAATTCTTTGATACTCAAGGGTTTAAAATATTTATATTGCCACTGCAATATAAAGGTTTGAAGGATGAAAAAACATAGTATTTGAGTAGAAATGTAAAATGGAGAAAATAAATTGGCAGAGTTAGCAACTTGAGTTCAGTTTTTCATAAGGTGAGCAAGTAAAAGCCAAGGCTGCTGTTCAAAATCTGTATAGGGACTGTAGGTTAATGCCATCAACGTAGGCATTTGTAGGGCATATATAGGGTTTGTCTATCAATTATGATTTTTTTATTATTTTGCCCTGTGTACCATATGCAAATTATCAAATCTGTGTAGAATTTGACATGTAGCTACTTAATTGTAAACATTTTAATATACAGCTAGATGTCAAATTAATTTGGTCTACTTTTACAAACCAGATTAAGACTTGAGTTTGCAAATTAAAATGTTAGTTTTTATTCCTTATTACATCTTAAAAGAACAAATATGTTTACTGTAGACAGGCTTATTGCTGAAGACCAACTAACAGCTTAAGATATTATTAACTACAGCACTAAGGCTAGTGGGTCATGGACATACATAATGAACCTGCTAACTGCAAAGGGTATAAATGGCGTTAAAAGATCACCTCAGATAAATTAATTACTTTCTTTCTGTTGGCAGCCAAAATAACCATAGCTAGGGCTTGGAAAACACCAACAATTCCATTCCACTTGGTCAAACAAAAAATGTCGTGGATTATGGTCCATGAGAAACTTCACAGCATCCTCCAAGATAATAAAAAAAGTTTTGAATTGACCTGGACCCCCTGGTTGTTATATACAGGGGTGCTGGAAACCGGGTAATTTTCATTGTACAACTTTTCTGGAATTTTTCTCTGGGGACTATGTTTAAGGTTTAAGTAGATGTTGGGATATTTGGTCAGGGATGGAGCTACTCTTTTCGGACTCTTAAGCTGTTCTGCTTCCTTTAGTATCTATTTCCTTTTCCTATTTTTGTCTGTTTTTTTTTTTCTCTTTATGCTCGTTTAGTACATAGATGCTGGACAGAAAGTCTTCCATTGATATAGATATGGAGGAGAGCATAACAAATGTTTGCTTCAGACATAGGCGGATCCATAGGCCAGATATTCCTCTCAGACTGTTCTGATTTTTGATTTTAGTGATGGGGGATAAATTGGCCAGAATAGGTGGATAGATATGTTCTGTTGTACAGAACTATTATATATTGTGTGTATGGCCTCTAGTGATCCCCTCCTACTACTAGATTATGCTAATGTGGAAGAAACTGTAATGCAATTGTATGCTATACTGATTGTGCATCATGTGCTATTTTATTGTTTTATTGTACTTTGGAAAATTAATAAAATACTCTGAAAGAGAAAAGATCACCTCAGAGGTTGGCCAGTTGCAAAGTGTTACCAGTCTGTTAAAGTGTTGTTAAACCCTAAAATGTAACACAAAATAGTACTGCTGGCCTTAGTAATTACCATGTCTGTCCATGCTTTTTCTTTAAATCCTGCCATTGCTCTTAATTTAGCCTGTTCAAGTTCACTGTCTTATTATTTTTAGGATGGCTATGCTACCTTCCCAGGTCCTGTGTAGCTCTGCCAGAGCCACCTTTTTGTGCACTCTCCTGGCTGATAGCTTCATCATCAATGTCCAGATGTTGCCTGCAATGACACACAGGCAGCCCAGAAAAGTAAAACTAAATATCATGCGTTTGGCCACATGGTTGACACTGACAATGAGGGTGGGTTTGCATATGCTTTTTTTAGATGGTACTAGGACATGTAGTCCTGATGAGGGCAATCATGTGACATTTAGTGATGTGCTCAATGAGTGCTCCACAAACAGCAATTCAGGGAAGCAGCCCAGAACAAGCCAGAGACTGCTGTTGTGGAAACAAACAGGTGTAAGTTTTTTGGGACATCTTTACACATAATAATGTATAGAGCAATGCTAAATGGATGGAGAGCAATTTATTAAACTTAAAAATGTAGACATTTTAGTTCTATTTTAAGACTACTTTAAGACTTTGTGATCTTTTGGAAATCTTTTATTAAATACTATATAAAATCTGTACCACCCTCATTAACCTTTGTATTAACAGTTGGGTGGTTGGTGGATACAGACTTGTTTAGATATATTTAGACATAGTTTCCTAACCACTATCCAACTAATCATCATCGAATGAGCCTGTAATGTTTATACGTTGATATTTAAAAAAACAGCATATAATATCTTTTTGATATAAATGATTTCTTGTTATTTATTTTTGAAGCATTGTTGTGTATTGTATTTTTGGCCCATGCTCAGAGGCAGTTAGGCATTTTGGTTAAATTTATTGACACCCTGGGGTTGATTTACTAACCTTATAAACACACCACAAACATGTATACACCTCTGTAGTGTGTTCCCTCCCAGCATGATCTATGGGTGGAATCTAAACACCTTTGTAGTGTGTACACACCCAGCAGGTGTGTTGTGCAAAGCCCTGCATGAATTGCAAGGTGATGTTGTGTAAATTAGCTCTATGTTGTGTTGCTTGCGTTGATGCATGCAGGAATGTAAATGCATGAGCTAACCATTTTTGTCTAAACTGTGAAGCAGCATTATATATGCATCATGTGCATGATTTTTCCATATATGTCATTAGTGGAAATATGCTTTTAGAGACTTTTTGGTTGATAAATACGTTTTGCTGTGTGAAAATCACACGCAGGTGCGTGCGTGTGTTCAGGTTAGTAAATCACCCCCCCGTGTCACACTGCTTGGTCTGTTAATGCCAATGTCTCATAAATCAGAGGGAACTTGAACAGGCAGATACGGATACCAGGAAGAAGCCAAAGGTCGGTACACAGAACAGCAACACCTACCCAAGAGTTTCCCATAGCATAGTTTCATTACCTGTTGATTAGTAAGTTTTATTTTTAACTTCCTTTAACAAACCAAGCTGTCTAGCAAAAGTGGCAGTTAGAGGATTGAGACATGTCACTTAACACCCATAGGGGTGCCTACAATATTGGAGTGGGTGAAAATGGGTGTTGTAGGTAGTCGAATTTGAGATGGACAGCTTTAACCTATTACCCAAAAACTGTGAAACTGTGTTAGGAGTGTGGAACTGTACAGCAAAAACAGTGGCAGAAATTGAAATGTAAACAATCTCCTCCTGATTTGGTCAGCCTGCTCTTGAATGTGGTAAATTGGATCCAAAAGGTCCACTTGCAGAAAGTGGGACTTTTTAGGTGTCAAACGTGAATATACACAAAAAACTGTCTATATAAAATCAAAATGTTTATTAATAGTAATTAGAACCATATTTATTTATTTTCATACCATATGCATATGTTCACATCATATACACATACACCTACTGCAAGTATAGTCTATTCATGTGTTAACAGTAAGAGAAGAATTGTTAGCCCTGTTATAGGGTCAGTACTAACATCACTCAATACTTTCTCTTTCATTCAATTTTATATGTATAACTTCTGAAGCTGTACAGTGGAATTATATTTTGGATGGACATGCTCAATATACTGTCAACAAAATTAACAGGTTTTGTGTTCAATTTAAACAATTTATGTTTAAACATGGATGTAGTAATTCAACTGCATTTTAATGTATATTAAATACATAAGAGAGGGGAAATGTGATTGATTTTCCTCTGAATCAAATATTGTCCCACCATCTTTCTCACATGCTTATACTTCATCTTATACAGTTTAAGTTGATTAATAATTTATTTTTTATTTATGAATAGTTTACTACATATGCAAGTTGTTTTCTGCCTGTTGATCAATATCAGTATATAATTTTTGTTTTAGATCAACTGCGAAAATTACTAAAATTATAGCTATACGTATAATAAGTTATATATTATGGTGATTCAAAACAAAGCATGCTGCAGGATATTGCTGTTCTATGGTTGTTACATCAAAATCTGTCAATAAAAGGATAGCAGGTGAATTCTGGTTTATTTTCTGTAGAGATCAAGGGCTTATGATAAAGTAAACTCTGTCATACATTTTTAAATATATTGCAGATGCAAAAAATCATATATTTTTGCCTTCCAGATATTTCACAGAGATTTCTGTCAATAAAACAGACTCAGACCCAGTGAAAAAAATTGCACTTCTGTGGACTTCAATAGGCTTAAAAGAAGTTCAGTTAGTAAATTATTCAGTCTTACTTGACCTACCAGGCTCTTCTCCAAATACAATCACTCTGAAGAATGGCCAGTGCTATTATCCAAGCGGACAGGATTGTGATGAAGAGACCAAAAGTCAGGAGTTTCCTTACACGTATGCTGCCTACTCTGCCAGTGGAAGTCTTGAGGTAACGTGGCCATTTATCACTGTCACTTTAATAACTTAAAGCAATAACTTGGTACATCCCTTCTTCTGACACTTTGTCTGGGTTAAAGGAATATGTGTCAATGTATTATTTAATACAGCAGTGAAGTGTTTAAATCAAAATAGTGCATACTTTGATGTAGATAATGGTATTAAAGAAGATAATGATTATATATACAGTATATTAGTATTATATTTATTATTATTTAACATATGTTCATATAATGATTAAAAGCAAAAAAGATTTACTTTGGCAGTGGTACAAATAATCTATATGAACTGGGAACTGCATTTGCTAGTTTTTAGTTTTTTTTACATATAGAAGGATTTTTTTATGGCGTTGTGTGTTTATTTACAATTTACACATACAAATACATAAGTGTGGAATGATTTACTAAAGCTGAACTCCAGGATCCTGTCCATTTTGGATTCCTAGCTCCCTCTCCTCACACATACAGGTCTGTTCACTAAAGGGTGAAGAGTTGGAGAAGGCAGGAGAAGTGAACAATTTAGGAAAACATAGCTGAACTGGAAAGTGAGCTGAATTGGAGGATTTTTCCAAATCAGCTATTTTGGCCTAGATTGTTAACGTCTCCTGCCTTCTCCAAACTCTTCACCCTTTAGTGAATATACCTGATAATAAAAAATGCTGCACACTTTTTAAAATAAATGCCTTACTTTTTAATTCATTAAGATTTTCTTCCCTATGATGTAATTGGTTCTGCTGGAAACTGTACTGTTCCTGGGCAACAGGGGGAGGTTCTATGCAGATGCAGACTGTTGCATCTGATGGGAAATTACAGGGGAACTATATTTTTTATGAGTATATGCAGGTAGAGCTCAGGGCTGTAATCTGTGTGTTTAGAGGCACAATGCTGTGGTAATGCAAGCATCTATTTGCATAGCCTCTAATCAATGGCTGTGGGGAGGTCACAACCATGTCCTGTGCTGATTGTAGCTACCCACAGAAGGAAGCATGGCATTAGCATGTCATCAATCTCCTTTACTATACTACACAGAGGAGAAAATGCGACTAGGAACCATTTCTCCATAGGGCGGAAATAGTGACGCCTGGTCACACAAAACAAAAGCTGCACTAAAAAAGGAGGAATAAGGGACAAGCTTATGACAGCAGGTTTAAAGTATATTTAAAGTCAAAACTGTTTTCTTTCTGTGTCCCGCTGGGAAGATTTCTCTTCATATTCTGTTCTGTAGACATAACAGGAAGAGGAAAAATTGAGTAACATCCCCTTACAGATATCCCCAAAACAAGTGTTCCATTTGAAAGATTCCCCTTTATCCCTGTTCTGATGACAACTCAAAATATTGGATGTTCTGCAGTCCTGGTGACACTGTGGTTAACAGAATATAAAATTGCACACCTTAAAAGTATCAACCAAGAACAAACCAACAGACATATTTCCATTCAGGTTTTTGGCAGTTGTTGCAAAAGTTTTTCATATTACTTGACTGCATAACACGTTTTCAACTTTCCTTTTATCTGATAAAAGAATAGTGTCCCCTTTCTGTAAGCTGTAAAACAATCCAGAAATGTTTAAAGTGCTCAGGGAGCTATCAGTTCTTCTTGAACTCTCTCCTAACATTGCATTACCAAGCCTGCTGTTTTCATTTAGAAAACCTTAGTAAGTAATATTTTCCTGAAGCTAAGATAGCCACTCACAGCTCAAGTTGAGCAGTGTATGGCCAGCTTTCGTAACTTAAATATTCTTAGGACAAACAAACAGTTGATTTATGCTCAGACAAAAAGGTTAAAGAAAAGAAAACAAAAAAAATAAATATATATATAAAATATGTATTGCATGATCACTCACAACAATGAACAATAGCCAACAATATTCTATTTTACTGTGCATGTTTTATTGTAAATAAATAATACATATATGCCCCTCTAGTGATTATTGCAGTATTATTCGGTATGTCATTAAGAAATGGTACATACAATTAATAAAAAATGTTATGTAGATTACCAAATGCATGCTTACATTAGTGAGGGCCACAATTTCTTTTAATAAAATCTTCTTTCCTAATGTAGATTAATTAGTGATTGCACTGTATTCAGTGACCTGCATATATCATTTTCTTATTAAATTACTTTTTATTTTATATATTTTTCTCTTGTTTAGGGTAAAGTCATTGATGTGCAATATGGAACAATAGATGACTTACAAAGTATTACCAATGCAAACAATATTTCAAGGAATTCTATTGCTTTAATAAAGTTGGGAGTGTTACCATTATTACATAAGGTGTGTATATGTATATATAAATATTGTGTGTGTGTCTATTATTGTGTATGTCTATGTGTGCTCTGTTTGCCATTGATGGCCCATTTACACTAAAACGCATGTGTCCTGGTTCCCCAAAATAAAAAAAAGTTTCAGTTCCCATCTCATTACTGCATCTCATTACTCGTACTTTAAAAACAAAATATGTCAATTTTTTTCTTCCATAGACGTCAATGGCAAAGCATCAAAATGCATCTAACATGCAATGGCTGTTAACAAAAAATGCACTTCTATGCATATGCATACTGTAGATTTATGGGCCCTAAAGACCAATTGCTAGCAACAAATTAAATATTTCAGTGAGCTAATTAAATCCAGTAACCACAGCAATTGTGTAAAAGTTATAAAGTCTACTCAATTTACTTTGACCAATGTTTTATATAATTTCTGCAAAAAGAGCACATGAAGCTCCATATGGGTTTAGTATGAGTTCATAAGTATGTACTTCCTGAAGCCTTTGCTGTCTCTGCTTCCTGTATCACTAATCTCATTCAAGCTTTTAAGGTTAGTTTGAATCTAATAGGTAGCTGTAAGAAAAGTTTTAATACTGGCATGCCTTTCTGTATGTGAGTGCCAGAAAGAATGATGGTCTAGCAATACCAGCAGATGTGTGCCAGGATTACCAGACTGGTGAAGTACAGCAAGGTCTTGTTGAATAACTAAACTACATATCAGGTATGCTTCCAGTATTCATCTAAAGGTTTCATTTTGGTATGGTCTGCAAAAGGTTAATTAATTATGATATATGTATGCCAAGTAAACTGTACAAAAAAAGTAGGCCAGTAAAATATTTTGCTTTTTGAAACACATGATCCTGTTTTATATTTAAAAATACCTTTCTACTACTTATACATTGCACAAGTCAGAGCATCTCATACATTTTATTATGTATCTGCTATTTTTTCAGGAAAGACACAGTTTTTAGATTAACAACAGAAGCACATTTTTTGGGAAGACTAGCTTTTTGAGATGCAGTTTTAATAGATTAACAGAAAACAGCAACAAAGACATGCAGGTGTCAGGGTCAATTTAATTTAATTTTTGTAATAGTATTAATTATTTGCTTTGAATATTTTCTTTGCCAGCATCAGGGTCGTATTAGCTGGAAAGCTACCCTAACAGAAATGGATAGGGGCATGGGAAGGGGATGCAAAGCTACCATTTTTCAGGGATAGGTTAAGAAGTTTAAAGTGTCCATTTTTTCAGTAGGCAATACAAGTAGCACTGCTTAAATTAAATCCTTTTGTTTGTTCAGCTTAGCAATGCACATAAGATACAATATTGTCGATTTAGGGATACTAAACAACTTGTAGTCCCCAATTAATATTTCAAATATTGTCAGGAAACTGAAAAAGGACATGTCATGAAAAGGGACATGTCATAACATCTTCTTTTTTTAAATTCTTGAATTAAGTTTCATTAGAAAAGTGTTATTGAGATCAACTGTTTATTGTTCATTTACATGCACATGTGAACAAAACAATTGTCTTAAATACTTATGCTAACATAAATAATAAAATAAAATATGCTAAGGCCTTCATTAGTGTTATTTTTGTTATTTTAGAGAAACTTTTCACTATATGTAGTATTTAATAGACAAGATATTTTGAAGAGATTTACCAGCTTATATTGACCACCACAGCAATAACCTCATTCTGACCTTTAGAAAATTGAGAAATAGCTTTGTTTCTTTATTTCTATTGGAGTATTGAAAGTCCACAGAGTATTGAGATAACAATGTTCCAGTTATAACAATCGGTTTTATATGATGGTTGTGTGATATAAACTACTTTCCCTGGGTTCTTTTGTCAGAAAACATCAATGTTTGTCTGAAGAAATGTTGTCAACTCTCAAGAGATAAGGAACAGATTTGATCAAACCAGGATTTGCTTCAGATCACACTGATTTGCTTCAGGCAACTTTTGGTGGTTTGTACTAAAAGTTTTGCATCCTTTTAGGTGCTGCTAGATAGGGATAAGTGAATCAGCTCAGAGACAAGTTTGGCAAATCCAGTGGGAAGTCCACAAACATAGAACTTAGTGCCAAACCCCAAGTCTACGGGAGCTGAAAATAGCTGTTTTTTTTACATTACAAAAATTACAATAATAAAATTGTTACTAATGCCCCGCAATGTAAATGTACATCAATCACTTCATCCAGTGGTATACATTCATGATCAATCATGGTGTCCAACAATGTAAACGCATCATTAATCACAATGACCCAATGCCCGCCGATGTTTACCTGCTGCACTCCTTCGCTAAATGGAAAATCCCTGGTACTAATATAAACCGAGCCCTGGGGATCTCTAATAAAGTCATTGGCCAAATATGGGATATTTATATTACACCAGTACTGGCAATTTGGGCAGGCATATGGCCACAAATAGCCCCAATAGTTCATTTGGGGGTTGGGTTCACCTTGAACCTAGGTCTGGCCCCGAATTAAAATCTCATCTCTACTGCTAGACTGCACATAAGTATACTTTTTAAATGTTCCCTGTGTTCCTGATTTCAGTGTACAGATCCACAGGGATTGGCAAATGTTCCCACTATTATACATCTCTAGTTAGTTTTGTTGTTAGGGGAATGTATATTTTGCTGAGAATGTTGGGGTAAATTAATTTGTCAGTTACTAGCATCAATACCATCTGCAACAAGCAGGGAGGATGATGAAGAAAATTATTTTCTTAATTTTCTTAATATTTCTCAATATTTTCTTAAGTGAATTCTTAATGGCCCATTTACACCATACGGCAATAGCACATGTGCGTTAATGCGCGTTATGTCTTGCATTAACGTAAGGCGTTAAGGTAGTCTTTTCATTTTAATGGGCTGCCTAATGCACTAAAGAACATCAAACATGGTGCATGTACCATTTCTGGCAGCACACCACAACACACATTAGTGCATTGCAGCATGTGTTGCTGCACTGCAAGGTGTGTCCATCAGCAAGGTGGGCAAGGGTGCCATTCAGAATGTAATGTGCCTTTACTCACATTGTGGTAATGCACACATTACCGTGAGTGTTACCATGATTCAACAGTGTAAATGGGCCATCAAAGTGTATGTTCAGACAAATACTTTTAAAAGTTTTGGAAGTAGGGAAGGGTACAGGAAAACTCTATGCCAGTATATATCTTTTTCTGTCTGTACCCTATTAGGGATATTTGGCTTCACCAGGATAGGAGACACAACAGAAAGTGAGAGAAAATTTCCATATTTGACAGTTTCCAACAGAACAGGTATACCCTTTAGAAAACCCCCCTACCTCCAGTTCTGGGGACAACTATAACATTTTACTTCTCACTTTCTGTCCTGCTGACAATGGTCACCAGGACAACTAGAGGGTGGTAATCTCCCAGGTTAGACACAGAATGCAATAAAAAACAAACAAACACTTTATGTTTACATACACTTTATATTTATCAAAACTTTATTGAAGATATATAGGAATACAAGGCATTCTGTGAATGCCTTGTATTTTCACCATTAAGGAGGAGATCGTCCATCAGGCTTGGCACCAGGGGCCCATGGAATTCAACGGATCTACGGTACAGATTCTGCCCGACCTGTCCAGAAACACCCTCCGCATTTGATGTCTGCTTTGTCCTCTACTAGACCTGATTCAGGCGGCTGACCCGACCTACAGATGGGGCCATCCCTTTTACTTACTGGTTAGATGCAATAACAACTCTTTCCAACTTCACACACCAGCACAACTCCCTGCCTTGTTTAGTTTCCTGGACGCTCAGCATATCGCGATCCCTGACTGGTTGGATTTTCCTTAAGATTCATTGGAGGCCACTTCATTGCCCCCCATACCATCCCGGGGTGACCCTTCCAGATCTCATTCCAGATCTCTGCATCGTGCAGCCCCGGTGCCAGCCCTGGCTACCCCTGAGCTGTGAGCTAAGCACATCATCCACCCACAGTTCTTCTGTTTCTTGACATGTTTTGACAGCTTTGCCCTGGGACTCCGGTAATTTTCCTAGTACACATGCTCCGGTCACTGCTACTACTCCCACGGATACAAGGCTCGAATACCAACCAGACTGCTATTTGCAGTACCCTGAGCCATGAGCAATTTTATATCCTTTTGTGATCCAGATATATAATCACTACATTATTTTCACTGTATTTTATTACAGTACGATGTTTAAGGGTGGGTGGCGGGAGGTGGGCTAAGGGACCAGTCCGGCTGGGACCGTAGGGGGACTAGAAGTTACCATCCGGTCTACAAGCCGTCAATGTGCACTCTGCTAAAATGACAATGGAGAGCTTTGCCCCACTTGACGTAATTCTTTTCACCTTACATGTACTGACTTGGGGACCTCTCTTGGCCTCGCTCATCTCTCCCCTCCTTGTGGGGGGAGGGTGAGGGAGACGAGGACTGGGGGGCACGGTTAGCCTGCTGCCCTGTGTGGGTTGTGACGCCCCGCCCCCCCCCCAACCCAAGCAGTGATGTAGTTCCACGGTCCTTGCGGGGAACCTCCTGGTGTCCTGGGGTGTCAAAATGGAGGGGGCATAATAATAATAGCCGGGAACTGTTATTGTGCTCCACAGTGCTGTCGGGTGCATTTTTGTTCTTGTTGTTACTGTCAGATTTGGTGATGGAGGGTGAGCATGGTGCCCATGGGACCAAATGGCTAAGGGTATCGTGGCTAGATTCGGGCCTTTGTTATGAACACCACCCTCTTGACGTTCGCTCTGTGAGGCTCCTTCCTCGTCGACCGATGGCGCCTCCCGCACGGCACTGTGTGAACCGCATTTATCTGTTTGTTGTTCTAACCCTTATCCCTTAGGTATGCAGTGGCTGAGGGTACCGTGCCAGTCACGATTGATCTTACATAGAGACTCACTCCTTCTTGACAGGGTCACATGTGTCCACCCGTGTAAAGTGCAGATGGTGTACTGTATTTTTATTATTAGCCTTCTTATTTGTTTACTGTATTTGATGAC